TGCGAAAGAGTCCAAATCTTTCAAATTTTTTTAATGGCAGTTCCTTTCTTTGTCATCGTCTATCGGTGCAAGCTCAAACAATAAAATTAAGATTTGCAAAACACCGATTTCTGCCATATCAAAAGAATGGGCATGTCCAACACGGCCAAAATGTCATTCGAACTTTTTCATCTAATTGTGTCTACCCATGATATATTTAGTATTCGATCATTATTGTGCTGCGTCGGTAGAGGATGCTACAAGATAAATTTAGTTTTACCAACTGAGTTATTATGTAAATGTGCCTCCTTATCGTTGCTGGTGATTAGACTTCATAACATAATGCGGGTTAAAGCAGTCTATTCTTCACTCTTTCACCTTGAATTAAGATGCCAAGGAACTGCCAGTGTTCAGTTTCGATTATTTCCTTGATTTAACAAAAATAAGTTCTTCTGTTTATTTCCTGAAAAATATCTTGTTACGTTTTCTCAGGGGGTTAAAGAATAATGGTGTAACCATAACAAAGCATAAAATTTTGATGAGCATCTTATTTTAAATCTTGAGAGCAAACTTCATGAACCAATGAAAAGTTTTGCTTTTGTCAAAATTCAGATGGAAACGGCACAGGTCAAAATACTAATATCAATATTAAAGGCACAGGTCAAAATACTAATATTAATTTTTCTGACAAAGGGTAGCAAAGTTCTTTTTTATAGTAATCACGATGAACGGGACGTTTTGTGCAAACTTTCTACTGCAATTATCCTCTCTTCCTGACTTGAGAGAGTTTCGATCACCTCTCATTGTTAAGTGTGTCTTCAATAGCTTCTTTAGCTACACCGCTATCATGTTAAACATTGTGACAGTGTACCCCATGCAAAAACCTTCATCTTTGCCAAAGAACTTAACAACATTGTTGCTCAGTCTTGCTATTACTGATGTCTAGGTTATTTGCTCAATCTTTTCATACTTTTTGGTCAAGTGGCTAGCTGCAGCAAATGCTTTTTTAAGCTCGCTTCGTTCCTCGGTGTTGTGGCTGTTATTTTAGCAGGTTGGTTGGGATTCATCCTCATCTTAGAAACTAGGAGCTTGTGACAGGCAAGCGTGTAGTTATTGTGGTGATCTATATGGATGTAACGATATTTATGTGGGAGTCATGGGAGTAACCATTGGGTTCTCTGTTACGTTTGTGGTTTACATCAGAATATATTTGACTGTTCGACGGCACAACAGTCTGTACGATATATGCAAGTACAAGATAACGCGAGAATACGAAGCAATGTGTGTGAAGCGTCTTGCTTAAGGACACAACGTCATGCCCCAGCCAGGACTTGAACCCGGGCCGTCCGACCCAGATTCCAGAACACTGATCACTGGACTACTCACGCCTCACAATCTCACGCCCCTATCCTGTTTTATTAAGTTTTCTTTCTCCTTTCTTCTATATGCATTGCTCTTATAGAAACCCTGGCTTGATTGTCGCTTTGGAAAAAAATTATCTTTCCTCTTATTTGAATTCCATTATTTACTGCTGGAAAATGAGACATTCGACACGCTGTCATGGACACACTCAGGAACATGTCACGGCTCGAGGTAGAAATGAGCCATCTCGCTTAATTTACAATCGGTCTTCAAATGTCGTCCATCTTGATAACTGAAGCCTTCTGTGTGATTGACAAAGACTGTGTGCAGTTTGAGCTTAACAGAGTAAACAGGGAGAGACGAGAATAGCCTTACATCTACACTCAGAGGTATGATGCGACAGCCGAAATAGCTATAAATTCAACTTTTGAATGAAAAAGCGTTAAAAAGGAACTGCTTTAGAGAAGAGAAATATCAGTGAAGAAGAGAAATATCAGTAAAACTGTAAAACTTAAATTGCGAAAGACAGTGGATATTATTGTAATAGCAATTACAAATGAAATAGGAGACATATTTGATGTGTACCAAGGTATTCCTTTTCTTTTTAATATTATAAAACGAACGGTAAAACAGAGAAATTGAACGCTGTGATGGAGAACCTAAACTTTGAATAAGGATCTTTCTATCTACATAACAGTTCTCTTTAATTTTCAATGCATTGCCAAGGAAGACAGATGAAGAGAATTACAATAATTGATCAAAGAGAAGGAATTTGTATTGGTATCACAAATTGGTTTCTTCCAAATCAATTTAGACTGAGAAGTAAGATATTAGCAAGGAGGAATTACTTTCAGATCATGATTCAATAGTGAACGGGCGGACTGATTTCAAGACCTCAAGGGGGCGTAACAATATCATATAAAAAAATTGACTTGAAGACTTTTCTTAAATCTAAAATACACCATTACTTCAAATAAAAGTTTATTTAGGTAGAAAGCCTCTAAAAAGGTAATAACTAAACGGGAAAGATTATGAATGATTAACTAATGGAACGTTTCACTTGGATTCACATCATCGATGAATTGAAAAAGCCGAATTGTAATTATTGAAAATTTAAATATTCAAAACGTTTAGCTTGTTACTACATTTTACTCTCAAAAGAACTCTAACCTCAGGTTAATCTCAGTAGTTGTTGCCTAACTAAAAATAATTTTAGTTATAAGTTTTTCTTTTTAGTTTGCTTACGATTTGTGCGATTTCTGGTTAATATCCCTTAATTGTAATACAACTCTTAATAACAAAGCAGCTTAGTGGGCATAATATTTATTCACCATCTTTTGTTTGCGATTTTGCGATGACATTATTCATTGAAACATCACGAGGAATTTTTGAAGAAGAGTCCAAACTCATAACCTTTCAATATAAGATCTTTCAGTGGGAGTTTATACTATGCTATGTTAGCAGTGCTATTTTCACATGAAGCGCTAACATTATGCTCGTTTCTCCAAATTATACCAAAAATGTTGCTAGCAGAATCTATAGGGGCCTTCGATTGTTTTAAACGTAAGGGGTTCTAGCGTATTTTTTGCTGGAGGCTCACAGAACCTGATGTTGGCACATGTCTCTAAGCAGGCGTAAGATGTTTATGAGATGAACACCCATAAGACAATTTTTTAAAAAGGCGTATTTGATGAATTTGATCCGTTCCTTGACTGGACCACGAGGAACATAACTCTGTCGCCGTTGTTGATGTTGTTGCTTTTTTAATATTTTAGTTAATCATAACCATTATTGGTGCATATGCAGCTTCATTTTTCACTAATCATTCTGGCCAGTTGTAATCGGACAGTTGGCTATAATCGGACACCTTTAATCGGACAGTTTAAGAAGCCAATCATACTAAGTCCACTCAGGTAATCCATAATAGCAACAACCACTTATCCAAAGAAAAATTTGGGAATTTCCAAACTGGCGGAATTTTCAACAAAAGGCATTGTCGCCAATGGAGATATTAGTTCTAGGTGTATTTGTTTTTTCGGAAATTGAAATGGTTATGATTAAATGGTATCAGGACTTCTTGTCGTTCAATTCTGTCTGTAATTAAACGAGTGATTATAGATTACATACCGAATTGGACTCCACGCGATCCTATTGCCACTATTAATCAAAAGCATAACAAAATTCTTGAACTTGACTGGTTATCACCAGGCCAATTTAAGCACTACTAAGTCAGTGTACGCGCCATGCTCGTAACTGGACTTTTTAATAGGACAGTTAAAGGGACAGTTACCAAGTCATGCCTGTGTAAACGGACAGAACGCGTATTTAATTGTTTTTTTCTCGTTTTGAAAACGTATAACAGGACTTCGTGTCGTCTAATTCTGTCTGTAATAATACTCGTGATTAATAAATCGGACTCTCGTTTCGCAGTCGTCCAATTTTGTCAATCATTCGTATCATTATCATTAATTTTCAAAAGACAAAAAAAAGGATTTACGAAGCTGTTGTCGTGACCAGCGGTCTCTTTCTGTTTATTATTCGCACACAGGGACACCTCTTTTGGTTGAGCAGTCTACACGATTCGAAATGAAATACGAGCAGTTTAAAATAGTAAAGGAAAGTTTTTGCAAGCTTCTTGTTTGTAAGCGTTTCGATTACTGATCCAACTGTTGTTTGGACAATCATAAATTGGAATGAAATGACTGATAGTTGAATTTTTATGGGATTAAAAGATAGCACTCATCTTTTAAAAGAGTGCAAAACAAGAAAATTCATGACATCTGAAGTTGGATAAGTAATAATAATCCACCTTTAGAACGGATTTTCAAGCTTAAAAATCTGGTTTTCAATTGTCACAAAATCCGAAATCCGGATATCAAAAACTAAATCCAGATTTTCCAATCGAAAGCACTAAATAATTCATCTTTTTCTGTATGAAATTCACTATGAAATGTTACGGTATAATATATATATTCTAAAGCCTTTAAACACAAAACTAAGTGTGTTTTCTACCAGCCTCTGCATACCACGGACATCCAAAGAAACTGGACTGTATCACTCAACTCGAAGTAAAAATTTCGATATGAAGGAAAACGGCAATATGACTTTAGGAAAGAAATTTAAAAATGTTTCATTTTTCATTTTCGTTAATTAGCCATCTGAACAAAGTGCAGAGTTAGGAGTAAACTGAGAACGTATGTCCTCTTGTCTGTTACTCAACTATTCAACCCGTGAAATTTTAAGTATACCGTCGATGAATTCCGTACGATGGATGAAAACATTTCCTACTTTGGAGCATGATTGTTTTTGTCATTCTGTTTACACGAAAGTATTTAACAGGAGTTATCTCGCTCAATATGCTGCAAAGACATTTGAAACATGTGAAACTAACTCTTGTACGCAGATGAGCGGTTACACCAGGTCTGGAAGTGGACCTCGATACTTAAACGTATTCGTCAGATCAAGCGAAAGATCCTCACTGCAAATATCAAATTGAAAACCATTGTAGGCTTAGAAATCCTCGAGCATAGGAGCAGGTATTCGACAAGTGGATTCCCATGGCAACTCAATCGACAAGAGATTTATTTAGAAGTAGAAATATTACAAACAGTCTTTATTTTCTCACAAATTATAAACTAACATTTTAAAGGTATCTTTTGTTATCTAATCTTTGATGGCACTGAAATAGCAAAGCTTAAAAAATCATTAGGAAAGAGAAAAACCATAGTATTAATAACGAAACATGTATAAACTCTATCTTATGGCATATAGCATTCCACTGCATATAGGATTCTTCTGAATTAATTTTTGTGTTATGAAATTTTTTTTTCCTAAAATTTTGTTCGGTGACATTGTAATCGTATTATTTAAAAAAATCCCATAAATTCTGCAAATAATGAAACATTTCTGATAACAACTGGCTACGATATATTTTCTTTACAACTAAAGTGTAGTCGAGTCTATGAAGCTGTTAGTAATCTAATTTGCATTCTAAAAATCTAAAAGTCTTGGAGTAAAGAGATTGAAAAAAGTAATCGGTGTTTTCAGTCGCACAAACTACTTCTTGATTTTTCCAAACAGCGTCAATTAAGTAGATAAGCATTTCATGTACGAAGAATTCAAGCCCCGCACATAAATTCCACTGGTCTTATTTTCATTTCAGTTGATTTTGGAGTGCTTCTCTTGGCACAAGTAGAATCTAACTTTCCCCAGTGGATAGCGGCTTTAGGATAGGTTTCATTTCCACAACGTGGATAAATGCCATTGAGATTTGACGAAACAGCACATTCAGTAATACAGCTGTCATACCACCAGCCTCCTCCTATTTTTTGAGCCCAACCAGCAGGAACCTTATCCCAGGTACCAAAAACGAAACCTTTATGAGGACCGAGGGAATCATTGGAAACAGTGGCATCTGTTTCAAAACAGAACAAAAGAAATCCGCATAATTCAAGGGTCCTTAAAATGTCTGTATCGCTTCAAACTTGTAGTTATCCGTAAAAACAAATAATAAATAAAATAAAATAAGGTTAGTAAGAAATTTGTTATGTGGCACTCGGACGAAACACCCGACCGAGTAAGAACCAATCAGAACATGCGGGTCTACCTCAGGACTACCCTGCTACTTACTAATAACATTATGCGACCACGTGGAGTTTTAGATCGAGATTTAGATGAGAGAGAAGTAATGTATAAAGATCGAGCGGTGAATGCTAAAAAAAGGTCTATTTACTTATGATTTTGCCAAGGTATAGCCGGTACTTAGCTGTCTCGGTCCCAATCCCAAACCAGCCATACTCAGGGTGAACAGTTTTGCCAGTTTTTACTCCAAGATCTACTCGAAGCTTGTTCTTTGTCTTGTTTCGTGTCAGGCGGTTTATTTTGTCCAGTCCGAGCCAAAATTCACCGACCATGTTGCCGAAGCCATGCTTGTAGTCATCCCAGGTGCGGTTAAAATCGACAGAGCCATCCATTCTCTTCTGGATCACTGTCCATCCCCCGCCGGCTGTAGTTTGGTCACAATATACATTAAAGATGCCTGAACCATCTGGGTCGATTGGGTAAACACCGCTGACCCTTCGACCAGATTTGTACAGTTCAGCACAGTTCTTAGCTATTGAAGATAAAAAAAAAAAGGTTTTCGATGGTGTAAGAATATCTAAAAAAAAGGTATATCTAAAACAAAGGTGGGTATAGATTTGCACCTGACGAAAAATGTGTAAAAAAATTCTATCTTGGAAAGGAAAAGATGAAACCTACATTTTTCATAGATCTTTTTCTTATTTGTCGTGTCAAATTAAATGGTATGAACACAAAAGTTTATTAACGTACTCTGTAGATGTACACTGATTGTTAGCGAAAGGAGTGCTACTTGATTCACTCATTATAATCTGTACTATTTTTTATCATTATTTCCTTTAGACTGTTTGTTGCTCCTTTCATAGAAAGCTTATTAAAAAAAATTCAAAGTGTTTTCCTTTTTTTTATCCTTTCCATGTTCAGCTACACTGCTTTTTAAAAGAGTATTGCAAAGGATAAGAACTCCGAAGAGAAAACTGTATATTTTAGAATAGCAAAATTAGTCCTTTGAAACATAAATTGGATTCACCATTCTGCAGAATAAGTCTCCCGTAATACAAGTAACGATTGAGAGAAGATGGAATGATAAATACGAGTAAGCGAAGGATATCTTACTTACATGTCAACGATGTTCTGTTCTCTGCGAGAATGTTAACCTCAAATCGAACTTGGGTGAGTTCCTTCATTATTTCTTCCAGGCAAACTGCAGTGTTTGTTTTGCAATCTATTGGCAATGCACGCATTGATGGTAGAATTTGAAAAGTCACAAAAAGTGCCAGAAACAGCAGAGCAGAACCTGAAGAGAAGAAGTCATCGTGCGTTATGAGGTCACTTCGTCCACGATATGTTATACAGTCATATTTCCTAATGAATTTCTAACAACAAACACAAGGGATTATGGGGTTCTTTTGACTGGGAAATCTGGATTTAGTTTTTAGTTTTTTTTATATCCGGATTTCGGATTTGGTGACAAAACATGAAATAAAAAACCAGATTTCAAATCTTAGAAATCCGTTCTTAAAGAGGATTATTATTATAAGTTATATCACGAAACCCTTCTTTTGCGTTCTTTTAAAAGACGATTGCTATCTTTTAATCACATAAAGCATTTGCTACTGTTAAATTCTCCTATCACTTCATTCCAACATATGATTGTCCAAACGATGGTTGGACAAGAAATTGAAACACCTATAAACAAGAAGCTTGCAAGCGCTCCCCTGTGCTATTTTAACCTGCTCGCAATTTTTAAAAATGAACAATAGCTGTTAACTTTGGCATTCCCAAGGTAGAAACGAACTCAAAACTGAATCTGCTTAATCCAAAATATTCAATTCAACCAACTATTAAACAAGGCGATCGAGTTTTTTAAGTGAAATTGTTCAGGGCTCAAGTTACAGGCTACCAAGAGCGTGAACGATCGACTGTTTCAGATGACTGACTTTACTTAATTTATCATACCACGATTGAAAGATTTCAAAACGTTTGGAGTTCGACTACAGTTCCCTGTGATCGAGTACATTGACTGGGCTTTGAGAGCTGTTGGTGTTTTCCATAATAGGAGTCGCATACAAACCCCATGGGTTAAAAGAAGGTGAAAATTTCAGGGTCTTCATAAAAGCTTCAAAACGAAAAAACCCATATTTGAAAAAAGGAAGCATAGAATATAATTATAATCAGGTAAGTTTCTTAAAACTGTGACTTGCATATCGAACAATGTTACATACCTATTCCTTGCCGATTGTCCCTCATTTTTATTCGTCGGGTGTTGTTTGCAGTGTTATTCATAAAGGCTGCAAGAAGATAAAACTAATTTTATGGTGAAGATAAGAAAGAACATTGAGAAACTCTTCAGAAAAAGTACAATGGGAAAGTTTTTCCCAAAACTAATAGGAACTTACATACCGCTGGGTTCACTTACTTCACTTACTTACTTACCCTAGCCGCCCGCCTCCTTCGTGCTCCGTTCAAGAACTAATTAAATTCCGTGCGAATTTGTGCGCTAAATATACCCACAGAAAACAAAAAGTAGACAAATCCTTTTTTGTCAGGCCGCTCCAGGGGTAATAAATTCCGTTATCCCTTCGATGCACCTGTCACCTGTCAGTCACATAAACATTCTGGCTGAATGCAGTTGTGCGAAATATATTTCAGAATTGATCTTTCCGTTCTTAAAAGGGAAAGTTAACAATGTTTCGGACCAGACACTCCACTTCTGTAGCAGTAAAATACGACATTCTAAATTAGAACTTTCAGGAGCGACCGATAATTTTTGCAAGTTCGTGAGAACTGCGTATGGTGTAATGTGAGAATTTGGGATAGGTTATCGATGTCATCTCGAGATTTATGATTAACAGGTTTAAGTGTCGCTAACCTTCAAAGCGGCGCATTAAAGAAGATTTATGACTTTAAATGCTGTTTAATAAGTTGACCGTAGAAATTGAATTACCTCCAAGTGATAGACTTTCCTGTAACATTGAATATTGCAAAGAAAATCAAATGACATAGAGTAATTCACTATGTTGCACTTATTATTATAAACAGTAGCTATATAGCTGTTTTATATCCACTAATATTTCACTCTTTAAAGAGCTTGAGGAATTTTTATAATCCTCATTACTAATTAGACAGACGATGAAAATGCATTGGCATTGTTTCCAACGCGTCCAAAGCCTTTTTGTATTTGCCTTCGGTAGTCTTATCACCAGTTTCTACACGGAAAAAAAATTCCATTTTCACGGGAATATTCACGTTATCAGAATGTTTTCCAGGGCCTGGAAAAACTCATTTCTACACTTTGTTTTCCTAGAAGTTTTGCATTGGTTCTCCAGTGAGGGTTACCACAATGTTTGTTTAGTTTTTTTTCCTGACGCAGCTACTAAATATCTGTAGACATCAGCATTTAATCTTATTTCGTGGCTCAAGCCGTACTACATGAAACTAAGTCGTAATAATTTGTCGTTTCAGACTCCGGTATATGAAAGATTAATGCCATTTTCACCATTAAATAATAAATCCCATAATTGAGATTGAAACCAATCACAAATTCTGTCTGAACACTCAACGCAATTCTCACGAACTCGCACGTCCTCATCATTTAATCTTATTTCGTGGCTCAAGCCGTACTACATGAAACTAAGTCGTAATAATTTGTCGTTTCAGACTCCGGTATATGAAAGATTAATGCCATTTTCACCATTAAATAATAAATCCCATAATTGAGGTTGAAAACAATCACAAATTCTGCCTGAACACTCAACGCAATTCTCACGAACTCGCACGTCCTCGAACAAAGGTCGGTCTAAAAAAAATGTTATTTTCCCGTTAAGTATATCATATATCCTGCCGAAAAAACATAAGTTTCCCTTGCTTACGTTTAAGAGTGAAAACTTTACGGTCAAAACCGAAGGTATATTTTTGTGCAATTTTAAGTGCGTTTAAAAACTTTCTGGACATGACCTACCAAGGATTCGCTGAAACAGTAATAAATTTAACGGGTTCCTCTTGACGGTCATTCTCGAAAACATTACTTGACGAGGCATTGATGTATTGAACACGTGTGCACGCAGCTCTTTCAGCTACTTATGATTCAGCAGAAGGTTGAAGTTTTCAGGAGAGCCTATTGTTGGACCTGAAATAACTGTTTGTGGTAGGGACAGTAAGATACGAGAATAATTGACCGTTTTCTCTCCACGTGCAAAACTGATAACCCCCTTGCGTTCGTGGAGTAAATTGCTAAATAGAGATTATCAGAAAGATTAAATATAGTACGGTGCAAATACGTGAAACTGATAAACCAAACGGAGGCATTGAATATCATATTTGTGGCCTCGGAGCACGTTCTAGATTTCCCTGAGTATCAAAATTTATGAAATATAATGATTTTTAATTTGATGTATCACTTCTGATACAGTGCTACGGCAAGTTATAAATTTGAACAAGATAAGATATCTACCATCGGCCCATCAATGGTCTCATGGAACTGTCCAAGTCTCTATCCAAATATATTTCAAGAAGTATGTGCACAAATGAAATTTATGCAGGAAACTGGCCTATGAAGTGCGGAGCTCTTGAGAACGGAACTCCGTCGCAAATCTGCTCTCTAAAGTATTTATGAAACATTCAAGAATTGGTTAGCGATTGTATATCGAGTTATAGATGTACACACGAGAGGAACCTTAGCTTCTTGAGTGCTATTCAAACTTCCCAAGTGTATTAATAACTCGATATAAGCACATTTAATGCATGAACCAATTATTTTAGAACATAGCATGTACAAAATAGTTGTACTCGGAAAAACAAAAAATTCTGTCGGGTTTACTAAGTAATCGTGTTCTGCTCCAAAACCATGAAAAGGCAAAAACGACCAAGAAATATTTCGAGACCAAATATTTATTCAAAGACCTGAAAATGTTCTTCTCTGGAGCGAAAAATGAATGAATCTTCTACGCAAGACCACGTAGTAGATTCAGCATGCTTAAATCGTTGTTTACTCGAATTCACGACCAGAAAATTTTATAGATTTGTGTTGAAAAATTTTAAAATTCTGAAATTGTGCGGTTTTGAAATTAAAATGTTGTATTTTGACGATACTTTTGAAATCCAACAGCTGAAAATGATATCAACTGTCCGAAAAACGAAGCAACGTATTCAGTTAAGCCAGTGATTCCCTTCGCTGGACCCTTTTGAGCCTTGTCGACCATTACGCTCGTAAAGTTTTGTTGAAACATCCGGCTCCCCATTAGGTAAGTTTAGCTATCAGAAAGACACACGTCAGCAGTTTGCACCAAAACTTTACGAGCGTAATGGTCGACAAGGCTCAAAAGGGTCCAGCGAAGGGAATCACTGGCTTAACTGAATACGTTGCTTCGTTTTTCGGACAGTTGATATCATTTTCAGCTGTTGGATTTCAAAAGTATCGTCAAAATACAACATTTTAATTTCAAACCGCACAATTTCAGAATTTTAAAAATTTTCAACACAAATCTATAAAATTTTCTGGTCGTGAATTCGAGTAAACAACGATTTAAGCATGCTGAATCTACTACGTGGTCTTGCGTAGAAGATTCATTCATTTTTCGCTCCAGAGAAGAAAATTTTCAGGTCTTTGAATAAATATTTGGTCTCGAAATATTTCTTGGTCGTTTTTGCCTTTTCATGGTTTTGGAGCAGAACACGATTACTTAGTAAACCCGACAGAATTTTTTGTTTTTCCGAGTACAACTATTTTGTACATGCTATGTTCTAAAATAATTGGTTCATGCATTAAATGTGCTTATATCGAGTTATTAATACACTTGGGAAGTTTGAGTAGCACTCAAGAAGCTAAGGTTGCTCTCGTGTGTACATCTATAACTCGATATACAATCGCTAACCAATTCTTGAATGTTTCATAAATACTTTAGAGAGTAGATTTGCGACGGAGTTCCGTTCTCAAGAGCTCCGCACTTCATAGGCCAGTTTCCTGGATAAATTTCATTTGTGCACATACTTCTTGAAATATATTCGGATAGAGACTTGGACAGTTCCATGAGACCATTGATGGGCCGATGGTAGATATCTTATCTTGTTCAAATTTATAACTTGCCGTAGCACTGTATCAGAAGTGATACATCAAATTAAAAATCATTATATTTCATAAATTTTATACTCAGGGAAATCTAGAACGTGCTCCGAGGCCACAAATGTGATATTCAATGCCTCCGTTTGGTTTATCAGTTTCACGTATTTGCACCGTACTATATTTAATCTTTCTGATAATCTTTATTTAGCAATTTACTCCACGAACGCAAGGGGGTTATCAGTTTTGCACGTGAAGAGAAAACGGTCAATTATTCTCGTATCTTACTGTCCCTACCACAAACAGTTATTTCAGGTCCAACAATAGGCTCTCCTGAAAACTTCAACCTTCTGCTGAATCATAAGTAGCTGAAAGAGCTGCGTGCACACGTGTTCAATACATCAATGCCTCGTCAAGTAATGTTTTCGAGAATGACCGTCAAGAGGAACCCGTTAAATGTATTACTGTTTCAGCGAATCCTTGGTAGGTCATGTCCAGAAAGTTTTTAAACGCACTTAAAATTGCACAAAAATATACCTTCGGTTTTGACCGTAAAGTTTTCACTCTTAAACGTAAGCAAGGGAGACTTATGTTTTTTCGGCAGGATATATGATATACTTAACGGGAAAATAACATTTTTTTTAGGCCGACCTTTGTTCGAGGACGTGCGAGTTCGTGAGAATTGCGTTGAGTGTTCAGGCAGAATTTGTGATTGGTTTCAACCTCAACTATGGGATTTATTATTTAATGGTGAAAATGGCATTAATCTTTCATATACCGGAGTCTGAAACGACAAATTATTACGACTTAGTTTCATGTAGTACGGCTTGAGCCACGAAATAAGATTAAATGATGAGGACGTGCGAGTTCGTGAGAATTGCGTTGAGTGTTCAGACAGAATTTGTGATTGGTTTCAATCTCAATTATGGGATTTATTATTTAATGGTGAAAATGGCATTAATCTTTCATATACCGGAGTCTGAAACGACAAATTATTACGACTTAGTTTCATGTAGTACGGCTTGAGCCACGAAATAAGATTGAATGATGATGTCTACAGATACTTAGTAGCCGCGTCAGGAAAAAACTAAACAAACATTGTGGTAACCCACACTGGATAACCAATGCAAAACTGCTAGGAAAACAAAGTGTAGAAATGAGTTTTTCCAGACCCCGGAAAACATTCTGATAACGTGATTTTTCCCGTGAAAAAGGAATTTTTTTTTTCCGTGTAGAAACTGGTGATAAGACTACCGAAGGCAAATACAAAAAGGCTTTGGACGCGTTGAAAACAATGCCAATGCATTTTCATCGTTTGTCTAATTAGTAACGAGGATTATAAAAATCCCTCAAGCTCTTTAAAGAGTGAAATATTAGTGGATATAAATAATAATAAGTGCAACATAATGAATTACTCTATGTCATTTGATTTTCTTTGCAATATTCA